TGTGCTTTGCAGCTCGAATCCAAGGAAAGTTCCCGTTTTTCCCTGAGTCAGGAATAACCTGGCACAGCTTCTAAAAGAATCCTCCTCCATCCCTGGCAGCCAGAACAGCTTCATCAGTGGCTCTGCTGCTGCTGCTGCTTCATCTCTCCAGACTTCAGGTTCCACTTGAGAGCTGCTGGGGAGCCCCTGGGCTGGGGGAGTGCTCAGGAGAAATCTTCAGTGCTGAGAAATCAGCAGGATCCCTTCATTTATTTGTTTATCTATCTATCTATCTATCTATCTATCTATCTATCTATCTATCTATCTATCTATCTCTCTCTCTCTCTCTCTCTCTCTCTCTATCTAATTTTTATCTATTTTTATTTATTTATCCATTTATTTATTTATTTATTTCTCTATTTCTCTATTTATTTGTTTATTTATTTCAATGTGCTGGAGGCAGTTTGTTCCCAGCAGGTGTGAGACACACAGGTGCCAGCTCCCCTCCCAGCTCGTTTGGAGTTTGGGAGCAGGGATCTGTTATCCAGGGAGTTAAAAACAAAGGAGGGGGTGAAGAGGAATCAGAAAAGGATGGAGCAGGTACATGGTAACCTGAATTTAAAGTGAGATTTCAGCTTAGGGAAAGTGCAGATTGGTAAAGGAGCCTGGAATGACTCTGAAGGGTGAGATCCTGTTAACTGGGGACTGGAGTGCCAAAACTGTGTCATTTATATTAATAATTTCACTTAATCTCATATCATTTTTAGTAGTTTTATTGATCATTTTATTATTTATTATCTATTTATTTATTATTTCTTTATTTTTATATTTTATTTTTATTCCAAAGTGTTCCTGCTATTTTGAAGACATTTTTGATGTGTTCCCAAGGGATGGAAAGTTCTTCCTAGTGGCTACAGGAGGATCTGTCCCTTTGTCTAACACATCAATTGATGTGCAATAAGCTCCCTGTTCTTAATTTTTTCCACTGGCAAACTCCCTGCTCACCTCTGAGTGCCCTTCACCCTTGTCATAATGAGATTGCTGATCTCCTAAAATTAATTAAAGGGGTTTGATTTCACTTTAATACCCAACTGCTCCATTACATCTTTGCCAAATGCATCTCTGCTTTTATTTGAGACCAATATTTTGAGCAGCCTGTTTTGTAAAATGCTAATTGTTACCAGAAAATACACTGGTTTATTATTTTTTTTTTTTTTTTTGTGGAAGAAGATGGCCTTGGAGTTACCAACTTTTGTTGCTACTATTGGGTATTTAATGGAGGCAAAATTTGATTACAAGAGTGGGAAAAAGTGATAGTAAGTGGTTGGCACACAAAGCCTAAAAATCTTCGTGGTTTCCTTGTGTATGGCATCAGGGGATGCACACCCTGCATTCATTGAAATAGAAAAAAAACAAAAAAAAACCATGTGGGGATGGATTTTACAGGGGCTGAAGGGTTAATTCAGGATTTAGCAAAAAGGGAGAGGGGCAGAAAATCGCTGTTCTCATGTTGGTCCATGGAGCTGCTGCAAAGTGAGCAGAGGGCAGTGCAGAGCGAGAGGATAAGAATTGAAAATTCAAACAACAATGTCTTTTAAAGTTTTAATAAACGAGGCAAATGCATTGCATAATTGTGTTGCAATGATTTGAAACAGGTCCTAAGGAAAATTGCTTTGAATCCTAATTAGCAACTAATGGTTATTAGCTAAATCCAGCGCCAGGGAAGAAATAAATAGTTCCGAGTGCTCAGCTGTTGCTTCCACCTCCAACCACCGCAGCTGTTGTCCCAATTTTGGGCTATTTTTACCTAAAAGCTGCAGGTCCCAGGTAGGCAGCAGATCCCAGAGAACACCTGGCCTGTGCTGCTGCCAGCCAGGGTGAAATACAAATGAGGTGACAATTGGTGACAAAACAATTCCTGCGGACGGGTTTTATCTCCTGAGGATCAATTGCTCTCTCGTGTTGAGTCAGAAAAATCAGCTTTGCTGGGTGCTGAGCTCTGCTGAGGCTGTGAGGTGTGAGCAGGGCTCCAGGTGATGCATTCCCACTTGGAGTCATCACCTGCCTGCTCTGGGAACTGTTCTCCACCGAGCTCCAAACTGCTTTTAGCTCCCAGGGCAGGAAAAGATCCTGCACATCCCAGCGTGTCAGGAAACTCAGGGAAAATGACCTCCAGCTCCCAGGCACTTACTGCAAACCTATTCTAAATTGAATACACAAGCCAAGATAATACAGGCTGTTTGATAAGAAACATTAGAGAAATCCATAACACGAGGCTTTTTATTATGGGTTTATTACATCAATCTCTCCAGTGGGTAATGGAACTTGTAAATATACTCTTATGTAGGAGTCTCCTTGCAGGCTTTTTATTCATGCTGAAGTAAGCACAGCAAACTTATTTGCTGTCAGGGTACATTGAATAGAAGATGAGTATTTATTTTGGTTCTAAAGAGGTTCTGCTTTCGTGGATTGGAAGTCGGAGCAGCTGTAGGAGAGGAGGTGGGAGCTGCAGGGGGGTTTTGGGGGGAAATGAGTTTTTCCAGGCAAACTGCTGGTCCCTGTATGGGATCCAGGGAACATTATGGGCTGTGGGTCGTGTGCTCAGAGCTCCTTCAGGAGGGAAAAGTCACTTTGTTTAAGCAGGAGCTTGCTGTGTGCTCATTGACTAAGCCCAGCAAGATGAAAAATCAACCGTGGGATTAGAGAAATATTTAAGGGATACATTCCCTGCATTAGTGCACAGTGCAAACACGGGCACAGCTCACTCTGCACTGTAAACATTTGTTCTTTTACTGGGAAAATGCTTTTAATTCTCTTCTCGAGGTAAACAAAGCAATGCTGCTGCAGCAGGAACCCAGCAGGCTTTTGCTTACTTGGGGGAAATCAGGGGGACATTTGTGCTGAGTAAAGAGTGGAGGAAAAGTTTTCAGGAAAGTTCAAAAAGGAGTTCAGATTGTAGCAATGCTAAAAAAAAAAAACAAACCAGGAACAGCTTAAAAGTTGAAGCAGATTTGTTGGAGGATGTAGAAGTTAATTGGTAGTTGTCTTAATATAGGGAAAATAGTCCTTAATTAGAGGATGTTAATTGGACAGACAGACCAGAAGCGTGCTGAGGTGTCAATAAACTCAGAATTTTAACAGGTTTTTTTAGGGTTCCCCATCCCTGGCAGTGCCCCAGGCCAGCTTGGACAGGGTTTGGAGCAGCCTGGGACAGTGGGAGGTGTCCCTGCCATGGCAGGGCTGGCACTGGGTGGGATTTAGGGTCCATTCCCACCCAAACCCACCCCAATAATCCATCCCAAAGCAGGAAGGATGTGCTTTATACTGCTGCAGAACAACCAGCCACGTCTGAGTGATGTTTGCACCTCCAACAACGACAAAATCCTTTTAATTTTTTCTCTTTTTTCTACTGTATGAGACAAATTATGAGTGAACAACGAAGGATGTGTGTGTTTAATTAAGGTCTGAGGGTTACAAATGTGCTTGAGCTACGAAACCACATCTGTGTCAAACCCAGCTGTGCTAAAATGCATCAGCAGAAAGCTCAGCACTCATTTCATCTCTGCTCTCCCATCTATTAATTACATGTTCCACCTCTTACATCTTTAAAAAGACAGAAATTTTTAAGAAAGATGCTTGTTTTCATGTCTTCATGTATGCTTGTTTTCCTGCCTTTGTGTTTTCATGGTTTTATGTTTGTTTTCACGTATTTGTATGTTTTCATGTCTTCATGATTGTTTTCATATCTGTATTTATCTGTTTTCATGTCTTCATGTATGTTTTCATGTCTCTCTATGTTTCTTTTCATGCCTTTATGTTCGTTTTCCTGTCTTTACATTTGTTTCATATCTTTCCGTGTTTGTTTGCATGACTTTAGGATTGTTTTCCTGTCTTTAAGTTTGTTTTCATCTATTTTTGTTAGTTGTCATGTATTTTTGTTAGTTTCCATGGCTTTCTATATGTTTTCATGGTTTTATGTTTGTTTTCATGCCTTTATGGTTGTTTCTTTTAATTTCTTTATATATGTTTGTATTCATGTCTTCATGCATTTCTTCATGTCTTTCTGTATGTTTATTTTCATGTTTTAATGTTTGTTTTCATGTTTTTATGGTTGTTTTCATGTTTTTATGGTTGTTTTCATGTTTTTATGTTTGTTTTCATCTCTTTATGGTTGTTTTCCTGTCTTTGAGCTGCTTTTGGTCACTTCCTCAGTGTTCTTACAAACTTCCCTGCAGCCACAGTGCTGAGGGTGCTGAACTCTCTCAGAAGTGATGGCTTGAGCAGCAAATGGCTCAAGAGGATTTTTGTGGCTCTCAGAACAACTCCCTGCCCAGAGAGCAGAGTGATCCATAACGAGTTTATTCCCTGTTTAATCACCATTTCTCATTATGGACTGTGCTGCTGTGCTTGCTGGAGAAAAGTTAAAGCCCAAGCTCTCTGTCCAAGATAAAAGGCAGCTTACAGAAATTCTTATTTGTCTTTGAGGTTTCTGGGAAAAAAAAAAAAAAATTAGGCTTTTGGTAGTGTGTTCTCAATCCAGTATAATCCTTAATTTTCAAAACACAGAAAGCCATTATTTTTTTTTTTTTGCAATTGTAATGAAAAAATTGCTGAAGCAGTGCACATTATTTCGATTACCCATTAAGCCTTCTCTGCTCTAGAATGAAATTACATGATTTTCCTTAATTTTCTTGCTTTTAACTTCTGACTTGTAATTTACCAAAAGAGAAAAACAAACCACTACAACTCCCATTACTCCCAAGATGAGTCAGTTCCTCTTTTGGCATCTTTCTGATATTTTGGGCTTCTTATTCTATAACATTTATTTTGCACCATACTTCTGATCTATGACTTCTATAAGGCTCTGGCATTATATTGGCTTGGCATAAATGGACTTTGCATGGAGAGTGATTTCTTTCACTTTATTTCATGTTGATCACTTCATCACAGTAAACCATAATTTCTTGTTGAGCAATGAAATAAATGTGGGTTTTAATTATAAAGGAATGGGCTTTGATCAGATGAAGAAAACAAATGTGATCCCCCCAATTTAACTCTTGCCTTGCTCTCCTCATCAATATTGGATTTGCATTTTGTATGATGTTGCATCTCAGTGCTCTCTAGGTGAGGGTCCAAAGTCTTCATAAGTAAAAAACAATTAAATTTTGCCCTTGGGAAAGGCTCTGCTGGGCAATTGAGGCTCTTGGCTGTCACAGAATCATGGAATTGTTGAGGTTGGAAAATCCCTCCAAGAGCATCGAGTGCAGTCATTCCCAGCACTGCCAAACCCTCCTCGACCCCGTGTCCCCAAATGTCACATCCACACCTTGGGGGCACTGCCAGGGATGGGTCTCCCTTCCCTCAGAGCCTCTTCCAATGCCTGGCCACCCTTCCAGTGAAGATATTTTCCCTGCTATCCCATCTAACCCTGCCTGGCTAAAGCCATTTCCTTGTAGTGCATTAAAGACTCTGTCCCCTCTTACTGACACACGACAAAAAAAGGAATTTCTCTTCCAAAGCTGAGCTGGGCACGGGGGGTTTGAAATGAACCACTGGAGGTGAATTCTGTCTCTGGGGCATCCCCATGGTGCTGATCTTCAGAGGTGAGTGAGTGTGGGAAACAGAGAAGGTAGAAAAGTCTCAAAAGTTGTGTGAAAGCAAATTTCAGAATGCAAGAATGCTGAAGATGCAAGGACAAGAAACAACAGGAATGTGAATTGTGTAGAGAGAGGCCTCAGGAAAATATGTTAAGCAAGACAGTAGAAATATGTAAGTTTATAATAAATAATATCCATTGTTTCAATCTATTACAAACAAGCATTGTTCAAAGCAAGATGTACCTGCAGCTTTATTAATTGCCTTAAACAAACACTTGTCAGCTTTTAACATTGTGCTATTGGCTAGAAAGTTTTAAAAAGATTTCATAACAAAGAGAATTTGTTGTCACAGGGAGAGCTTTCACCATCTCCTGTGTCTCACCCTGTAAAATGAGGCTGATGATGCTGATGGAATTCAAGCTCTAAGACCACCCCATCCCATGATTGCTGGATATATTATGTATATATATAAATATATGTATATAGCATCACATTCATATACATAGTATCATATATATTAACATATCTAGTACCATATTTATATGATTAATTATATATTAATATGTTTAATAATTCCAACAAGCAAGGAGTGTTTGAAAGCTTCACCTGCTCCTGTGACACCAGGGGGAAGAAAGGCTCTCCTCACAAATGCCATCCCTCTGAGCTTGGAGAGTGCTAAATTGCAGTGTAAGAAGTCACAAGTCAGGGTTTTGACAGCTATTAAGGATATCTTTTCCCTGCTGTGTTGCTTGAAAGTTCATAACATTTAAAAAAATTAAAGGAATACATGTTATCCTGGGCAGATTGTACAAATTGTACTCCTGGCTGCTCCTTTGATGTTTTGCTGATTGAACTCTGAGAACTTCATTTAAGTCTCCCTCAGTTTGGCATTTAGTGGCATTAATTTCAAGGCTGGGTTTGTGTGGGGTCTGGTGTTTTTGTGTCTGTGTTTGCATGGAGGGTCTGGGTGCTCTGCAGGGGTAACCCAGCAGAAAAATGGGGATAAATGGTGATTTTTGGGGTTGGGGAGTGCCTGTGGTGGAGTGGCCAGTGCTGTCCCAACTTCCAAAGCCACAGCAGGAACTCTCTGTGTTCCCAAATTTCCCACTGGATACTGGGATTGGCTTCTGTTCCTGCTCTGCTGAGGGCTGCAGAAACAATCTGGAAAACAAAAATGAAAAAAATTGCAGAGCAACTCCTCAAATGTGCCCGAGTGACAGAGAGAGCAGCTGAGCTGCCAGCCCCACCCATCCCAGACTTCCAATGCCTTAAATCCATTTATGGGACAGATCCACCTGCAGATCACAGCCCTGAATCCTTTTCACAGGATTCAACACTCTCTGGCTTTAGCAGCAGTGAAAAGTCAGGGAGGTTTTCTTGTCCAGGGTCAGGAGCCTGCCCAGCACTGGGGTTTGCAGTGCCTGGCAAGGAAGGGCTTGGATTTACCTCTCTGTGTAACTCCAAAGCAGAAATCCTTCTCTTTTCCTAAATATCTTGATTATTTTTTAAACTTCAGGGTGCCATCAGTCTTGCATCAGACTGAAAATTTTACCCCAAAACCATAAATTTATAACAAGATAAACATGAGGTTTCCCTTTCTCACCATTCTTTCAGTTACCTTTTAATTCCTTATATTGAAATATTGTCCTTTCTTCTCAAGGCAATTTAGAAATAGGAAGAAAATTGCAGAGGGTATAATTGTAATGGGGCAGATGCTTAAAGCTTGCCTGTGCCAGTGCTTTGTCATAGAAAGAAATGTGTTTTCAGTTTACTTCTTCTGGGTTTTTTTTTCCAAAATGGGAGAAAACAAACCTCTATCAGGTGGAGATGATGAAATTTAGTCACACATGTCCCGTTGCAGCGTTGTCTCAGGGACATGGAAACGTTCCAGAATTTCCAAAACCAAAGAGCCAAGGAGAAATGTGCCCTCTGAGTTAACAAAGAAGTGTTTTATTCTCTGCCTTGTGCATGGTTTGAAAGTTCTGTGCCTGTGGATGATGATGATGGATGGATGATGGATTCCAGGTGGAATTCCTGATGGATTCCAGAGTACCCAGGAGAACTGGGAATTGTTTCCCTGCCCTGATTGCAGCTTGTGTGCTGGTGACCCAGAGCAGGCAGATTTCCAGTGCCCCTTGGGAGGCTGAACCACCCCGTGAGCATTTTCAGTGCCGTGCTACAAATCCAATTGCAGGTGTTGGGCTCTGAGTGTGCCAGGCTGATCCCTCCTTGCCCTTCCAAGCCCTGGTAATTCCATCTGCTTATTCACAAATATTTGAGGAGGGAATCCATGGCCTAAACCACTGTGTAAATAGCTGGATAAAAAGTTGGCAGGGATCAGCTTTCCTCCTGACAGTGCCTAATGTACTTAAAGCTGAAGGGAGCAGAGAGGCTTCACCTTGAAGCCAAGCACCAGAGAGCTCCTTTCACCTTGAAGCTTTCTGCAGGGTTTGGCTCCTCAATCAATTCACAGCCTGGACACATTGCCACAGTTGTCTTTGTTTTTCCAGCAATAGATGAGGCAGAGATTATAGGTTATTCCCCCAGGGATTTGTCTTTTCTAAGGCTTCATGATTTTAAAGGAAAGAGGCTTTTTTTTCACGACGAGTGTTTTCATAACTTTGCCCGTCTGCTGCTGGGGTGGGGAGGGTGGCATTTGTTAGCCTGGCTTTTGCACACCTTCCTGATTACATCAAAGATTTAAATCAATTGAATTTCAGGGAGATATTATGGAAAGGAAATAAGTGGCTTTAAAATATGCACATGTAACCAACTACTTCTGTTTTTTTCATATATCCACTTTACAGTCCCTGTCCCACTCAAGACAGCTGAAAGTTTTACAGTAATGATGTGTGTTCTTGGCAATTATATCAGCACTTTACATCTTACTAATAAATCAGCAGATAATTAGCACAGGCCTTGGAAACACTTCTACTCCCAAACAGCAAGAACACCCAGCACTAGTGGCAGCACCGTTAGCACTGTATTAATCTCACTTTTACTATTATTTTATACTTATTCACAGCTCTGTCGTGGGCTGATATTGTCCTCAACAGAGAAAGGGAGCAGGAGGAGGAAAGGGATAGCAGGAGGGGAGAGGGGACAGCAGAGAAAAGGGGATAGCAGGGGAAAGGACATAGGAGAAAAGGGGACAGCAGGAGGGGAGAGGGGACAGGGGACAGCAGGAGGCTCACAGTACCTGTTGAAGACCTGTAGGTGCCACAGAAGAAGCCCAGTCTTGTATCAAGGGGCTGTCCCCAAAGGTGCAGAGCTACAAGGTCCTTCCCTAAAAATCACCGCTTCATAATACTTTTAAAATATCTGGGGTTTATCCTTTTGGGTTTTTTTTGTTGTTTTTTTTTTTTTTTTTCTTTTGAACAGGAAGCACCTTTAATGGGTCTTGTTCATTGAGAAGTCTGCAGAACTGGTCATAGCAGGATGATATGGTGTAAATATTCTCTGTTTTAATTCCAAAGCCAAGTGCAGTCGATGTTAACAGAACTGGAAGGCAAAAATTCAGGAGTGAGCCGTGCAGGGGAGCCCTTTGCAGCTGAGGAGGATGGAGTGCAGCTGCTCACCTTGGAGAGCTGTGCTCATCAGCCATGCCCTTGAGCTGTCCTATCCATTCCACTTCCCACTTCTCTGAAGAGCTGCTCTTCCCAAGGTGCAGTTTTGTCTCGAAGAAATACTGGCTTGTAGCAGAGTATGAAAACACCCCAGCACACAGAGCAGGGAGCAATTCCCTGGGCAGCAAACAAGGAAAGGATTTTTCTCATTTATCCTGGATATACTCCAAGAATTCTCTGTTCAGTTCAGTTATTATCTTTCCCTACGGTGTGGAATATTCAATTAAACTTTCTCTCAAATTGGCCATAACTTTCAATGGAAATTAAAGCAGTTCTATTTAGGTACCAGTATCTGTCACCAGGCTTAATGTTCAGAGAGAATAGGAATGGTTCCACCTGTTTGGTGTGAATTAACCTCGGCTGACATTCCCCATGTTTCAATTCCTCAAAAGCAGGGGAAGGATGACAGCATTTAGCATCCAACTGCATGTGCTGGCTCTCAGCTTTGGGGTACTGGAGGGACACAGCAAATACACTCTTCATTTGGAATGTATTCCAATTAATCTGGCTTTTTTTCTTTTTTTTTTTAAATAGGTTTTGTGATTCACTAGGAGGAAAAATATATATCGAGCAGAATGTTCTTCTAAATGATCTTATCACTTTCCATCCAACACCATATGGACACACACCTCCTCCTGTGGTTAAAATGCTTCTTTTATTGTGAAATCGACTGAAATTTCCTAGCTCCTGCCTCTTACTGCAAGAAACACACTTCTGTCAGAGGAGGCAGACCCAGAGCAGGAGTACATTTGTTTTATCTGCCAAGGAGGGGGAAAAATGCTTTTTGGAACCCAATCTTGTTTGCAGGTTG